ACTTTAATATGTTCTGAGGTCTTTTTGTAGAAACCTAAATCAATGCTTTTTACGACTTTTCAAGACCCGCAGACTCCCTGGAAGGAAACACAGATTAAACGAATAGTGTTTGATAATTGGTGTTGTACAATGAGTGTCGGTCGCTGTTTGACACACTGACTTGCAAGATGGAAAGGAAGTCAAGTAGGGTGTGTATGGGTGTATATGTTAACCATAATGGAGTCCTGTAAACTCTGTAAGCCACTGGGCTTATCCAAGAGAGGAGGAGAAGTGGAGAGGAGGAGACAGGAGAGGAGGAGGAGAGGAGAGGAGAGGAGAGGAGAGGAGAGCATATACGTCAGCACACACAAGTGCAAAGACATGACACAATGCATACACGCACAAAACAGCCATGAAAATAAAAGCTGGTGTAAGCTGACAATAAACTGACATATAAACACACACACACACACACACACACACACACACACACACACACACACACACACACACACACACACACAGACGTAGTAAACTCCCACACACCCGTGCCCAAACAAACACCCACACTCACGCACACATAAAACCACCCAAAGCCATGGTCAGCCATCACTCCGCTGCCTCTGCGGACAGGCAGCAACAGGAAATGTATTCCTCATCAAAGTAACGATTAGCCGGTGAACTGTCTCAGTCAAAGCGTGTTTGCTGTATCAACTCGTGAAAAAAATAAAAATAAAAGTGCCATGACGCCAGCAGTCCTGACCAAAGGTTCGCCAGCGGTGGAGACAACTGTTGACGTCCAAAGCCAAACATCTGAGACAATTGCCGTAGTGAAAACAGGACGGTGGTGATACAATTCAGTTCAAACAACAGACGTCACGTGTCACGAAGCGTTGACACGTCTTCACAGTTAACACCATTTAATGATGTTACCAAGAACAAGGAAGGAGAACGTGGGTACAAGTATCCACAGGTGGGCAAAGAAATGAGTGCACAGGGAGAAGAAATGAGGAGGAGGAGGAGGAGGAGGAGGTGGTGCAGGAGAGATGGTGGGTGCACAGAAAAAAAAGGGTCAGAGGGGAGGGAAACAAGTACGAGGTCAAGAAGCCTTCCAGAAAGATGTATTTCTATAAAGTGTGACGTGCTGTCGACAGTGGACCCAGAGGAAATGATGTTCCTACCTACTCAGACTTTTACCCCTCATTTATAATCTTACAGTCGTACGTGCATCGTCTTGTGAGACCAAAGAGCTCCGTATCAAAACGACAAGCACAAGCCGACTCTGTTCTGAAAGTGTGCCCCTGACAGATCTGGAGCAGCATCCCTGGAGTAACATCCTGCCTCCGTTACATTTTCAGAATAATGTCAGGGTTAGTCTTATGGCAGTGCATTTAGCGAGGGCCAACTCCGTGACTTCTGCCGGGCGTCTTCCGTCCATGAAGGATGAGTTTCGGTTACACAGTACATTGTCATTTTCTCCACGTGTCATGGCAGTTCTCAATGTTTATGTTAAATATTCAAGGATCCCTAAACTGACGGACCCCCATCTGATACGATTTTAGCTTTGGATGTTTTATTAAAGAGACAGTTTGAAGTTTTAATAAAAATGTTTCCTGAATCAGGCACTGCTGTACTACTTCAGTGAAGGGAAGGAGACTTGGCTCCACCCATGATATAGACTCAGGGAAGGGGAACGGAGGATAAAACAAAGAGAGTGGAGAGAGGGAGCAAAAAGAGGAGTGACTGGGCAAATGCATAAATAGCATGCTCACCATGTACTGGACAGTAGAGCTGGACTTGCGTTTCTGTCCTCAGGCGATTGATGGATGGATGGATTTATTGATGGATGGACAGATATGCATGGTAGAAGAAGAGGGTGGGGGGAGTAAAGTGACCAATGACAACACGTGAATGTACTGGTACAAAGAGCAAAAGAGAACTTGTCAGTTTAAATCAGAAGGTGAACACTTTGATGGAAATGCAGATTTCAACCCTTAAAAAAAAAAAAAAAAAAAAAAAAAAAAGCGGGAACAGACTTTTCCAGACAAGATGGACAAAGCGGAAGAAAGACAAGAATTTAATTCATAGAAATAAGATTTGTTTTTTTTTTTGTGGAAGTAAGGAGGTGCGAGCAGACGGAAAGAAGCGGCGGTTTAAGTGGAAGTGATCAGGTCACCCACTGTTCAGAGCAGCTGGGGCAACAAGGAGCAAGATGGAGGCAAAACAGAGGAGCAAGACAAGGAAATGTATTCAGTCAGAATAAAACTCGTAAATTTAAAATCAGGACTGTCTCAATGTTCGTAAAGTTGTTACATGCAGCGTTTATACATCAATAATTGATCTGTGTGTATGTAAAGACCAGGGGACAGTTGCACAAAACACCCTCATCTCTTTTCCTTAAGGCGTCCTTAAAATGTTCACTTGATAATTTAAGGATTTCTCTTTATCTTGGTCTATATTGAAGAAACCACTTAAAGTCAGTTAAAACATTAAAAAAAAAAAAACTAAAGGTACCTCTGGCTCCATCTGAACTGCAACAAGGCCGAGTTAATGGGGATTAATGAAGGAAATTAACACATCCCAAGAAGATCGTGCTGCGACCAGGAGACACTCTTAACAAGGTGGAATTGATTTTACATTACAAATTTGAGCAGCAGTCAGTCCTTAACTTCTTTCCTCTTAACAGATCCTGTGCATCACCTTTAAGGAACTCTCTCAGCTAAGAGGAAATTAAACCTCAAATGTCATAATTAAGGTGTTTTTGTGCCCCAGAAACACAGTGAACTCACATCTGCCCTCTGTGTTGTTTTTAAATTTTCATGAATTGAGGCCAAATCTGTCGGACGTTGTGTAATAATATGTAGATGTATAAGAATGCTACATGTAATAACTTTTAAAAACTAAAAGAACAGACACAGTGTGTGTTCATCAATGAAACAACACTGAATGAAATGCTGAATGGCTTCTGTGGGCAGTAGTTGGCAGCACACGGGGGTCGGAGGTGATGTGTAGTTAGTGCCGGGGAGAGACTGCGCGCTTTGCACCGAGCAGGTGCTCCAGCTGAAAAACGTCAGGTGCCGTTACGCATTCATGAACCAGCAGGAGAAAAAGGAGGAGGAGAGGAGGTCGGAGTCGCCAAGAGAACAAAAGGACATGTGGAGGGAAGAAAAAGAAGAGAAACAAGAGAAGAGGGAGGGAAGGAGTAAAGTAGGGACGGCAGCAAATGAAAGAGACGCCTTTAGAAATGGTTTGGGGCGAGTGTGTAGGGAGCCTGTTGCTAGGCGATGAGTGCGCCGCAGTGGAAGCAAGCGTCTATTTCTGTCGTCTGAGTTTCCAGGGTCCAGACTGGCAGCTATTCCTGGAACTGGAGTCACATTCCCCGCTGAACCGACTGAGCAGGGAGGGGGGCCTTCACACACACACACACACACACACACACACACTGCTGCACATGCACATGAGCGAACCACACATGCGGACACCCACGCTTACGCACAATCTATGCGAAGGCATGCTAACACCCTCATTTACACTTTCATTCTCTTTTCAAACTGACAAAACAAATGTGATGTGTTCACACACGCGCTCACATGCACTCACACAGAAACACACACCTGTACGTCCACGTGCACGTGCGCGAAGCTCTACCTGACATGATGTACGATGCTGAACAGAAGCAAACGCGTTCATCTGCATGTACACCATGTTCCACACTCCGTGCACGCATGCTGTACGCACATTCATGGAAGCTGTGTGTGGGATGTGTCGCTGTAATGTGTGTGCATGCACGAGCGTGGGATGGTGAGAGATCCTCGTTAAAGGATGAACGGGAATGCAGGGTTAAAGACCAGATGGGGTGAGCAGGAAAAAGGAAGCACTGAAAGAGGAGGAAGAGACAGAAATGGAGGGATGAGCGGGAGAGGAAGTGATGAAAAAAAAAACGAGTGGGGAGGGCTGACAGATGGTTACATTTAATAATGGAGATGGAGAGGTGGCAGTAAGCTGAATAATGCCAAATCAAAATAAAGGGTGCTTTCAGAGGGATGTGCTACTTGAGGCTCGTGCACTGGCAAAGCGGCAGACGGCTGATACATGCACATACACACACAAAAAAAAACACATACAGAAACACATGTATACAGACATACGTGTAAGGCTGTACCAGGTACAGACGCAAACTATATGAAAACAAAACTACAATCTTACAATCTTCACTTGTATCACACGACACAAGACGCGAAATCAATGAGACACAAGCACATTCAAACTGTTTTAGAAAAGACGGCTACAGCTGGCAGGAGCGAGGTTAGCCGGAAAGAAGCTAATAGAGGAGCGGAGAGAAACAGGAAAGAGGATGAGGAAGAGGCGGGAGTTTGTAGCTGTAGAGCGAAGAAGAGAGAGGAAGGAGGAAGACTGAGGAGTGTGATGAGCCTTACCTTGACATCTGCCTTTTTGTTGAGCAAGGTCTTAGCTGCTGCAATGACAAGCACAGGCGAGAAAAACCCAGTCAGAGTTGATCAAGACGAGAAACAGAGAAGTACAGCAACAACGGCTCGCTGTTTATCACTGACATTAAAGCCTTCAGAGATTACATTCATTTGACTTTTGTGAAATAATGTTTTGTTGTAGTAAAATCGCCTTTTCACAAAGTAGCAGCTACTCTCTGATGCCCTTATTGTGAAAGAGTCTCAGCACCTTCCTGATAAAGTGTTAAGTGAGTAATTGATCTGTCTGATCAGTCAGACACGGCAACGCACTGATCTACGACTCCATGCACTTCCAATGACTCTGGTCTTTAAAAACAACTTGGTGTGTAAAATCTCATAATTAATGGTTATGATCCAGGTCGGAAGAACAAATTACGATACAAAAGTTGAGCACAGATGAGTGATGCTATCCACACATACATGTTTTTTTTCCTTCTGGTGATGCTGTGCTGCCAGGATACCTTCTAAAAATAACAACTGTTTTCTCCTGCCGGCAAATCAATACAGAACCAGGCTCATTATGCAATCACTCCATCTGTAAAGTAATTGAAAATCAGCAGGCCCACTCGTTGGGCACATCACAGTGATGCAAGGGACGAGCTAAGAAGGTAAAACACAGGTCTCAAGGTGCTCGCTGGTAGAGACCAAAGCTGGTTGGTCAGGTGGACTGCGAATGATTTAAAGTGCTGCTTCCCGACTCAGAACCCATCATCGCATTCATTTCCCTAGCCTGTCTTGAGAGCAGCTAAACAGCACAACAGCTTTGGGGTTTGAATCTAATAAAAACTAGAGTTCACTGTTTCACATCGAATCATGTGGCAAGGTCCCCTCGTGGCTGCGAGGAAGCCAAAACAAAGATGGCTGCTGTGCGAGGCAGCCATCTAAACCCAACAATAAGCCCTGCCTTAAGGAACTCTGTGGGGGCCTTAAGGAGGATTAGTCTTCAGTCTGCTTTCTAATGAAGGGTAATGAGGGGGGGGCAGGAGGGAAAGAATGATACCGTAGACACAGCCCTGTGATGAGTGTAATACCCATAATCCCTTACAACAGTGGGAACTGCGCGCAGACAACAACAGAAGACGGTCCGCAGGGTATTTACCACGACTGCACTGCTGAAGCACAGACAGCGAGGTGGTCCGATCGCATTAGATAGATGCATGTTCACCCAGAGGGGCCCCAAAAACACAAGAGCCAGACTCTCTGTGATGCTGGTGTCGGCGGAGGCTGCGGCGCCGTGGGTGTGTCTGCCAGGACGCAGACGGAGGATTAACACTAACAAGACACCAGATGATCTTTTACTGCTTAACAGTTGACACCAGAAATTGCTCTCACAGACTGGCAGGGATTATACAGCGCCAACCATTGACACACACACATACAGGAAAGGACCTCAGGCACACAGGAAGTAATGGGGTTCGGTGGATTATCCGTTTGGCAATTATAAAGGATGGATTTGATTTTCACGCAGTTTTATTCTAATAAATACATTGTATTGTAAAAAGTTTAAAAGACGTCTTTGTGACAGGGGAGATTAGTGATTAGTCTTTTTCTATAACAATAGATGATATAGATGATATATTACAACTGTAGGTAACCACCGAATAATTTAAAATAGATGTAAGATATAATTTTGGTATGTCACTGTTAAAGAGTGTTACTGGAAGCTGTGTTTTACGTCACGCGTCAACAAGCATATTGGATCATTTGAAGACATCCCATCTGAGAAGATTCCCACATTGTGACTGAACAACAGTAATCAGTCTGTCCTTTACATCAGTGGCTCCCAACCTGTGGGAATACAATAACTTCAGGTGCTGTGGTGGTGAGGAGCGTGGAGCTTCCTACACGTTTCTCCCGCTTTCAGTTCAGTCGTTACCATTAAAATAAAAAAGGGCTGTGAGAAGGCATCGCTTGGCCTCAGGTGGGCTGTGAGTCAGACATGATTGGAAACCACTGGGCTGCATTATTAAAAAATAAATAAGCCAGCAAGATTGATTTGGGAAACAATAGTGCCTATCACCTGTCAGCTCAAGTCCCAGGCTCCTCCTCTCCATCTCGCACTCCCAGAGCTGTAAGCCTTACTGGGACTTTTTAAAGGGACTGAGTGCAATTTCAAGTCTAATCACATTCAATCACATCAGCAGCCAGCCACATTACATAAAACACTATTTCTGGCACTCTGGGATTTTTCTCTCTTTTCTTTTTTTCCTCTCTCCATCTTTCCTCTCTCTCTCTCTCTCTCTCTCTCCCTCTCTCTCTGAACAAGACATACTGTAGCTCCACTGAATTTCTCACTTCCATTTCCAAACATGTTCTGAGCCAGATTGCATTGAATTTTCAACCGAAGCCTGAATTCCCTGAAAATTTCCACTGGGCAGTGATTTCTTAGGGAGAACAGAGGTCCAATGAAAAGGAGGCCAGTTCAAAGTCTAGCAGAGGCCTGGCCCGGTCCTCTTAAGTAAGAAAACCCCATCTTTACGAGAGGACTTTTTAGGATGCAACTTCAAAAAGGGAGACAATGATTGAGGCGGACTAATGAAAGAGAGACATCTCTGTCCTGACTTTCTTTTTTTGACCTTTCTTCCTCAGTGATGTTGCGTCTCATGCTTGAAGTGAAGTTTGCATATTCAGCAAGTCAAGGACGGACCAAGAGCATGGTGGTAAAGAAGCACTGCATAATCTGGAGGGATGTAAGAGCGGCATGAACGTGCAGCTGTTTATTGTTGCGCCGTTCTTCCTCAGTCTCCTTCCAAAGGCTGGTTGTTACTGAGGAGAAGAAATGGGGTCAGAATGGTGTCAAGCCCCCCCCCCCAGAGGATATGAACGGAGAGCAGAGAAGAAGGTGAGCGTGAGAAGAAGAGGAATGAAAATGATGAAGGTATTTCACTAACACCATTATTCCGTCAAGGTGGAAAAACAAAATCACATCAAAGGTTGCTAAAAATGGCTTAAATTCCAGTGATGAAGATGAAATCCCTGTGGAGACCTGAAAAATCAAAAGGTAGCTTAATACAAAACAGAAGGTGAAGAAGCAATGGGTGCTCCTTACCTTGCCACAAATTACACATGAAGCAAGAAGAGAGAGGAGGGAGAGATTAAAACAAAAGCATCACTGATAAATCCCCACTAAAGACACGCGAGATGCACCACTGCAGGAGCAAAGCAAGGATGGGCATGGACTCACATGAAGATTCGGTGGCAATCGCACAAGCCAAAAGGTGCCTTCCTACCTGGGTAATGGAAAAGGCTCTTGAGATGAAACACTCAGGTGACAGCCTGCTTCAAGAGCCTTTTCCATACACGGCGTGTTGAAGGCCAGGAGCACATTAAAAGACAATATTCCTGCATGAGGGTAGGGGGGGGGGCGTGTAGATGGTGATTGTATTTTTGTGTGTGAATATGCAAAAGATACAGCGAGGCCTCCGGTGAGCCAGCGAGGTAGGGTGAGGCTGATAGGGGGAGGCAGCGCACTATAAATATTTGATAGGAGCCGAGCGGAGGCTGAGGGACACAGAGAGGGCTGTGGAGTCCCGGTGGGCCACAGAAACAAGGACACTGCTACTACTTCTGTCTCCTTAGCTCAATGCTAGACTGTCATGCAGAGCTCTTTGTCATTTGTGCCTGCGGTTCTTTTCTGCATACCCAGAATAAACACATTAGATTGGGTTCACAGTGATAAAAATGTCCTCAGTTTCTCCTGCCATCGCACACGTGTGCCACTGAGTGACTTGTCCGATGGCTGTAATGTTGGTGACATGATGTTTTGAAGCTTCAACAGCTTCAACATCCTTCAAATAAACAGTTTAAAAAAAAAGTGCTGTCATATGAAAAGGCAAACAGCTTTTTTCCAGCAAACAAGATCAGAGAAGCTGAGCTCATTGGTGAAGGATGTAGCACACTAGATATTTCTCTGACCAAACAACAGCTAAAGGCAAGTAAATATTGGAATTACGTTTGTCAAGGGGGCAGAAATAAGACTCTCAGGAGAAGAGCATGTTACTCTGCTTCAGCTGCATATGTAAAGAAGCAACTGTTTGCTATTAAGCTTAGCTTTAATAAGTAGATATGGCAACAGGACGTCAAGTTTGATTTGGTTTAAATCAGATTTAACACTTTCAAAACATCAGCTGTGGTGGTTGCTGCTTGCTTTTGATGAAGCTAATTTTCGCCCCGTGTCATTGGAGTACATTTGACCACTGGACAGTTTGTGCAGCCCGTGTTGATTCATCACAAAACAACCACTGTACCAAACTGTACAGATGACAGCTGTGAGCTGGGCATCTGACTGTGTGTGTGTGTGTGTGTGTGTGTGTGTGTGTGTGTGTGTGTGTGTGTGTGTGTGTGTGTGTGTGAGAGAAATGGAGCGTACTCTTGTGTGTTAAAATTCACCAGAAACTTTCTGTCTTTCTCTTCACTTTCTCTCTGTATGTTTATGAAACAGTCGTCCAGGTCAGCTGTAACTTTTTGGCTCAAGATGAAACATTTTGAACTTCTGCAGACATTTTTTTTTTTTTTTTGCATTATTTGTAATGCCGCAGGCAAATTTATGCATCATGCATTTCCATTGACTGTGTATGCAATAGCACCATCTTCCAAAATCTGCCTCGCTGTCTGACCGCACAGTAACACTATGGAGTTTAAAACGAACAGTTCACGAGATGTCTAGACTACTGACTGTATCGTGAGGCTGCTGCATGTAACAGGAGCTACAGCTCATCTCACAGCCCAGTCAGTGGGCTATTATGGGATATTTCCTCAATGCATGAAAACATTAAATAGTAAAAATAAAAGTAAAGCCACAGCTTGAAAGGGTTTTGACTTCATGAGAACCAGCCCAGTCCTGCATCTTCCACAGTGTTCACCATGCACCACAATCCCCCAGTGTTGCAGCGCATGCACCAGTCCAGTGCCCCATGCAGCATTCACCGACAGCTCCATCCTTAAAGTGACGAGGGGGGAAGGGGGGGGGGGGGGTTGGGCTTTCCAGTGTCATTGACAGACAGAGAAAAGAAGAGAGAGGGAAAGAGCAGTGAGGGGAGAAGTGAGATGTGATGCTGGTGGAGTCGTGGAACAGTACAAGGTGACCTGAGAGACAACAGTGACAAGAGAGGTAGAAGTGACAGAATGGGGATGAAAGGAAATGAGGTGAAGTGAGGTGGTGATGTGACAGAGGTGGGATGGGAGGAAAAGAGTGAGAGGAGCATAAGAAAGAGAGAGACAGGACAGCAGCTTGACTGGGTCGAGGCCATGCTCCGTGGTTGTTTCTAGGGATGAAGATGAGAGGATGAGTATGGTGCAGCGCCGCAGCCTCGCTTTCAGATCTCAGACAGGAGGGGACAGATGTGCTGACATGGGAAGTGACAGCTGTAGCTGGGTTTCCATCCGTCAGAATTATGAAACATCAACATAAAATGGATAAATGGAAAAATTCGCTCAAAGAATTGACACTTAGTTGTATTTTTATGTTTTCGCGTGTATAAAAATGTTGCCTGCTAAATAGCCAGATGGAAACGTAGCTAACGCTGCTGCTGATGAGTCTATGGGAGATGTAGTCATCGATGTGGTCAGCCTTCATGCTCTGAGCTCCCATGCTGAGTGAGGAGAGAGGGAGGAGGCCGAGGAAAATGAAAAAGGGGAAACAGAAGAAGAGGAAGAGTAAGAATAAAGAGTAAAATACAGGGACATAGAAGGGGGGTTGGGGGGTTGGGGGGTGGGGGGTGGGGTGGCATGCCCTGGGTGAGCCACCATGCTACCTTGTTCCACCAGCCCTGCGGTGGTGCCGGCGGCTGCAGCCACCGCTGCTGCGGCGGCAGTGACCGAGGCTGGAGCCGTGGTCTGCCTGCTGCCCACTGTTCAAGAGTCCAATACCCAGTCACACATGAAGATAGAGAGAGTTACAAGGCAAAGGAGGAGAGGAAGGAGGGAAAGAGGCGAACGGGAAGAGATGGAGAAAAAAGTTAGAATGACGCATTTAGAAAGAAGGTGGTACGAGGAAGGAGAAGGGTGAGGGGAGGGGAGGGGAAAGGGGAGGGGGGGTGAGCGGGTGGGAGACACGGCAGGAGGTTCGGTGGGCGGGGCAGGGAGAGAGAGAGAAAAGGTGAGAGACAAAAAGTCGGAGACAAACGGGGCTCATTAGTTCAGAGACGTGGGATCAACACACACATACACAAACCGCTGATATCATTTGGCTGCGACACCAAATTCGGTCGCATGTGAATCCGCTGCTCCGAAAGTGTCACCGTAAAGAAAAATGTCAGGGAGGAGACACAGATGTTAACTCTCATCTGAGACTCTTTGATCCCTGCACCTGGTCTCTACACACACACACACACAAACACACACAAACACACACACACACCTGAAAACAGCGTCATTGTTAGGATGATGATGGTGACGACGATACAGATTCTAGTCAGCGTTAGTAAACGTCAGATTTGCTTTAATAAGCGTCAGATATAAATCTACAGTAGGCAGTGTGCTCCTACATGCTTCACTGAGGATTTCTACTGTAGGGATAAATAATTCAGCAGTTCAAAACTTTATTTAAACCTGAACTTCATCCATATAACCTTATATGGTATGACTACTAAGACATTACATCAGCATGTGGAGGCAAATAGATCCACCTCTGTGCCAGCACGACGGCACTGATACACTATATAACAGATGAATCATAATAAATGATGAGAATATCGTAACCTGCAGCGTGAAGCACTGATGTCGGCTTTTGTGCTGATGTAATGTGCCACGGCTATTTTTATTACAGAAGGTCTGTCTCTTTTAAAAAAAAAAAAAAAACTTTTTAGCTGATGACCTCGCACTTATAATGGAGTACAGCTTCCAAAGAAGAGGACTGAGTTTGAGAGCGGTGACACAGCCAGGCCACACAGCTGGGTCAGTGTGTGTGTGTGTATATGTGTGTGTGTGTGAGAGAGAGAGAGTTAAAGAGCTGAGTGGTTGTTTAGTGGATGATCAGACCATTTCCCATTGGGAGGCTTGCGGTGTCAGAGCGGCCGCTGTGAGTCATGTACACTGAAGCAGCATGCTTGCACGCGCGCACGCACACACACACACACACACACTCACACTAACATCACTCAGACACACGCATACATCTATATATGCAAAATACACACATACTGTACACGGACACAGACTCAGTGCTTGTGATTCATTAAAAGAAAAGTTTATATGCTCAACAACTATCAAGGAACTACTCGATTCTTTTGATACCTCATTACGCCCAGAAATAACATCTGATCAACAACAACTTGTCTTCATCCAAGCCTGACTGCTCTTAAAAGTTCTGGCATACAATTTCCGACATCTTGTTGCAGGCTAAATGGTAAGATTGTTCGTTGACGACGAGCTCTCTTTTCACTGATCACAACGCTGCTGAAAATGTCTCATTAAGTTATTCTTAATGGGAAATACTGGAGTTTATGGATCTCGTTGTTTATGTAATAAAGTAGGAGAAAGGGGCCGCTGTTCCTGACTGAAGAAGGTCATTAGTGAAAGAGTCTCTGAGGCACAGATGTACAACACTTTATATTGTCTATCTTAGATTACAGCAGAGATTTTAAACCAATGTTAAACCCTGAAGAAGCGTCATGTTGTACAGAGATACACACAAATACAAAGACACAGACGCAAACACTTCCACAGCTTGCTGGGCAAATTCAGTGTTTCCCCAAACAAGCTTCCTTCACAAAGCTTTTCACTTTGTAATATTTCACATATTTTTACATTCTTGTTTGAGTTATCTGTCTGCATGTGTTTGTTGCTTGTTTTGTTATTTTATCCATATGAAGCACTTTGTAATCTCTGATTTTGATAAGTGCAATATAAATAAACTTTTTTTTTATCATTATTTTACAGTGGTAGTTCAATGCGTTACAAAGCTACACAACCTATAATGTCTAAATCACTTTCAACGCTTCTACTTGAAGTTCAAACGGTTTTACATATTGAACCTTTACAGTAATGTGGTATAATTCCTGCCCGTGTGAAACCCTCTAATCAGCCCGGGCGTCATCACGTCAGATAACGAGAGCAGGCGAGAAACAAGGTGTTTGTGTTGAAAGTTAGCTAAAAATGCAAATCTGACAACTGACCTTTGTTTAGCTTGGTTTGTGTGAACGTTAAAGCTGTTTGGGTCACACGTCCAAACCGTCGTCTCACTGAACTGAATATGCTTTTAATGTGACAATGTTGTAGCTGCTGTATATATAAGTGTATATAAGTATATAAGTCTCATGAGTCGAATACTTGAATAAAAATGAGGGAAACACTGAAGTTGCACTGAGATGAAATGAAGATGTGGTTTTGCTTTGGGAAGCATGCTCTGTAAAGTTAAGAATAAAATACATCTCTTTAAGTCAAAGGAGACAATTGGCTCTGTTACTGAATGTTCGCTGTTACCAGTGTTTACGAGGCACATGCCACCATTTTGACTGAATAGAGTCTGAATAGAGTCTGAATAGAGTCTGAATAGAGTCTGAATAGAGTCTCCAGGCCTGAAACCAGGCTAAAAGAGGTTTGTAGTGGGTGTGATCAGCTTGGATTCACAGCAGTTACACTGGATAAGTCGTGTTTTAGGTGAAATATCACTTCACCTGAAACCTAAACTTCTCCACGGTGAGTCCTCCAACATGGCGGCATGTCCCTCAAACTAAACTGACTGTAACTGATTTGCTTATATTCAAATCAACAGTTTAGTCCCCTTCAGTACTTAAGTATGTGTATATATCAATATAATTGTCATGCAAACAATAAAGTCTCTACATTTAGCATTTTTACATAAACAACATATTGACTGATGCTGGTTCGCGGATATGAATGGCAGATTTACAGTCATGGGGGATGCAAGGCAACACTTACCAGAGAAATTTCGAGAAACCAGCATGGTAGTAAGAATGGCCCCCTGAGGAGAAAACAAACAAGAAGAGCTGTTCAATTCTAACAGTTTTAAAAGATATATATATATATAGTGAGCTTTCCATGTGTTGTTTGATTATAAAGCAGGTCTAGGTTCTTTATTGATACTGTGAAAGTATCAAAGCGCTCAGTCCACAGAGAAATGCACACAGCCTGCGTTCAGAAACTGAACTTGGGATTTCTGTAACTTTGTGATGTCACAACAAAGCAGTCACCGCTCTCAGCCATGCCCCAAGCGCCACCCACCTGGATCCACCATCCAACTTTGCAGGATTTGGTTTCTCTTAGTGTTTTTACCTGAAATCTGCTGAAATATTTTCATTCAGTGCATCAAAGCATCAACACCAGGGCCAGACTGACAGGGAGCGAGGCGAGGTTAGGACGAATTGATTTAAAAATGTAGATTTGCTGTAAACTGAGTCAGTATAATAGCTTTCAGCACAAATCATGTGCAGGGATATGGGCTCAAAGAGACAAAAGATGGAGACATGATAAAGAAATAAAGGGAGGGAGGGGAGATGAGTAAAGCAGCTAATCGTGACACTTTTCTCTCTGGAGAGATCATTTAAAACTGGAGCTGATAACTTTTTATAGGGCTATAAAAATGGCACTGAGTTGCAAATAGACCATCGTATTTAAGAGCTGTGGAGGATGATAATACACTTAATAGCTGAATAGCTAAAATGACTCCACTATAACTATAACCAGCCAGTATTCCTACAGAACAGTTTATGAAATAAACTAAGGAATGTGGGTTTAAATGTGGGAGCAGAGACGACGTCCCAGCAGCAGATGTTACAGCAGCTCCAGTCAGATCCTTTCAGCCCATGTCAAGACAAACATCACAGTCAGACACCTTTACAGTTTCAGAGTCTGTCAGTCTGTAACATTCGATATCGTTCCAGTTGTTTTATCAAAAGGTGTTTTTGTCATACGCACGATCTCTCATCATGTTCCGTCTATTTTTATTAGTCATTTTATAACATTTCCTAAGATTTTTTATTTCTTTAAACATTTTCAAAAACAGGTTTAGCACGTACAAGCTGATATGTTTTGATCTGTTTGAGCTTCTGTGTTGTTTCCTTACTGTATGCTTTGATTTTTTTTTTTTTTAACGTCTAACCTTGCCGCCGTCTGTTTCTTTTAAAAGGTGAAAAGCCAGGGACAATTGGTTCATGCTGATGGCATGTTGGCTGAATGGTCTGACATTTGCCCGCAGCCACCTGTGTTTATGCTTCCAGTTTCCCATGTGCCGGTATGTGAGCCATGCCAAGACTGGCCAAACGCAGCGGGGTAACGGTGACACGCTCCACTGGCTAAGCTGTTGCATCCAACACAAAATGTGTGTGTAGAAAGGGAACGGCGCATGTGGGAAAGGTCGCAGTCAGTAAAAGAAAGCACCATCTCCATTAAATACATTTTATATTTTATACTTCAGGCCACTTAGCAGATAATTATACCTTGAGTGCTTTTCATCTGATTTTAAATTATTGCAAATACCACTTGGTGACCCCGAAACGATGGGAAAGATATCGTAGAATAAAACTGAGGACAGGATTATTTCATCCTGTATTAAAGCAGAAGAGGAAGATGTGGGAGAGGGTGAGCTCGCAAACAGACCTTGAGTTTCCTCCTGGCATTGAATTTCTTCAGGCACTCCACGGTCTCCTGTCTGTGCATCATAGACGCCACTGTGGATCGTTGCTGGGAGGAGGAAGAGCAGGAGGAGGATGAAGAGGGAGGTTTAGGAAGGGGAGGAAGAAAAAGACGAGAGGAAATTTAATTTGACCATTAAATTTAGCAGTGTAACAAGACATGCAAAAAAAAAAAAAAAAAACCCTTTCTCAAGCAGGGGACACTTACGCAGACCCATGGGTGCTTGAGGGCCTCCTGAGCAGTGATCCTCTTGGCTGGGTTGATGGTCAGCATCTGGTTGATCAGGTTTTTGGCCTCTGGGGTGACTGTGTCCCACTCTGGAGAAGGGAACTGCAGAGACAAACAGGACCACATATCTTCACACTCACTGACGGGACATCCAAAGTCTTCACGTGTATCGCTGTGCTGCACTTGTGTGTCTTTAAAAGTCCCAAAATCCAAAGACTACATATTTTTAATGTCTGCGTGTATTTTGAAAACAACTTTTAATTTGACATTTGTCCAGAAACAGAGTCGAGACAAGTTGCACTGCCTTTTTCCAAAGTGTCAACTCCCTGATGGCGACAGTGTCTGATGAGTTTTTAATATCTCTCATATTGAAGCTGAATTATTACTTAGCATTTTCTTGTTGAATAGCTTTACTATGAACACACATCCTGTGGGCAGAGAGAGGAAGGAGATAACAAGCTACATCGGTCAGAGGCCAGATGTGAACCCAGGATGTTGCCAGCGCATGTGCCTTCAACATTTAATCAATTGTGCCCCCCCCCCGCTCCCCACCGTGGAGCTTGTTTTCCTACAATATCACAGGGTCAGTCTAAGCACAGCCCCCCAGCAATTTGTTAAGAGACTCTAAACCCATCAGGTCCTGTTGTGTCTAGGTATAAATGTCAAGGTCTTTGCCCTGTGAGCCCACAATCACTGCCAGAGTCTCTCTCTCTCTCTATTTGGCATGGAGTTGAATGTGAACTAAGGTGAGGCTCTCTCTCTCGCACCCCCTGAAATATGAATGAGGTGACTGAGTTATGTAAGTGCTGCCAAAAAGGAACGAGGGCAGTGGGAGGAGAGGGGAGGGCATTACAGCAGGGGGGGTGGGGGATGAGAGAAGAGGAGAGGAGAGGAGAGGAGAGGAGAGAAGAGGAGAGGAGAGGAGAGGAGGAGAGAGGAGAGGAGAGGAGAGGAGGAGAGAGGAGAGGAGAGGAGAGGAGGAGAGAGGAGAGGAGAGGAGAGGAGGAGAGAGGAGAGGAGAGGAGAGGAGGAGAGAGGAGAGGAGAGGAGAGGAGGAGAGAGGAGAGGAGAGGAGAGGAGGAGAGAGGAGAGGAGAGGAGAGGAGGAGAGAGGAGAGGAGAGGAGAGGAGGAGAGAGGAGAGGAGAGGAGAGGAGGAGAGAGGAGAGGAGAGGAGAGGAGGAGAGAGGAGAGGAGAGGAGAGGAGGAGAGAGGAGAGGAGAGGAGAGGAGGAGAGAGGAGAGGAGAGGAGAGGAGGAGAGAGGAGAGGAGAGGAGAGGAGGAGAGAGGAGAGGAGAGGAGAGGAGGAGAGAGGAGAGGAGAGGAGAGGAGGAGAGAGGAGAGGAGAGGAGAGGAGGAGAGAGGAGAGGAGAGGAGAGGAGGAGAGAGGAGGGGAGGGGAGGAGAGGAGACTCACATCATAAGCCCCAGCCTTGATCTGCTGGTACAGCTTGTGCTGGTCCTCGTCCCAGAAAGGAGGGTAACCCACCAGCAGGATATAGAGGATCACCCCTGAGACACACACAAAAACACATATGGACACACACACACACACACACACACACACACACACACACACACACACACACCACACACACACACACACACACACACACACACAAAACAAAAAAATGCATGATTTGTTAGAAAACATGTTTCAGTGTTGATTCTTTTTTGTTTGTGTGTAATTACTTAGGAAATGTGTGTGTGTCTCTGCACAACTCACCGCAGGCCCAGATGTCCACAGGTTTGCCATATGCCTCCTTCCTCAATACCTCAGGGGACAGGTACCCCGGTGTGCCAGCAAATCCTGCAGTAAACACACACACACACACACACACACACACACACACACACACACACACACACAGACACAGACAAACACACACACAGTATTGATTGACATGTTATCCTGCTATCCTTGGATCAGCTTGTATAGGAAGCAAGATAATCTTCAGTAAACTAAGACCGATCCATCCACACAGTGGACTGAGATCTTAAAGACAGATTTGAGGCTTTCAGGCCAGTCGACTGTGAACTCGCAAATCTCCGGCCACAGACGCCAACACTGATGGGGACTGACATTTGTGGTACAGAATCCAGGTGAGACATGGGTTTTTTTCTTTGCTTATTAACCTTGATGTAAGAACAAAAACCTGCAGTGCTCTTGACCTTTATGTTCAAAGACATTTGTATGCCTGGTAAAAAAAATTACATTAAAGCTCCCATATTGTATAAAGTGAGATTTCCATGTTTTTGTCTTTTTTGATTATAAAGGTTCTACATTAATACTGTGAAAGTATCAAACACACACAGCCTGTATTCAGAAACTGTCTCAAAACGAGGCATCAGGACTTCAGTAACTTTGTGATGTCACAACAACGCAGTCACTGCTCTCAGCCATGCCCCAAGCCCCGCTCCACCTGGACCCACCATCCAACCTCGCAGGATTTGGTTTCTCTTCAGTGTGTGCTATATTTCTATTCTATCGCTCAGAAAACAGCCAATCAGAAGAGAGGCTAAGAGCCTCCTCTCTTCTGATTGGCTCAGCGACCTGTTGTTACTACAGCTGCAGAGAGAAGCCTGAGAGAGGAGATGTACAACTACACTGAGATGGTTTTTGCTTCGTAAAACCACAAATATTTCTTCTCACGGATCAACACTTCAAATAAAACAAGGGGAAAGTGTAAAATATTGGACATTTAAGTGGTAACATAATATTATTGACAATAGTATTCAACTAAACCTCCATTTTACCACTATGCCACTGACTGACGTGCTGCAGTGGTGATTAAAGCTTTTCAATTGGCTGTTTCCTCAGAAAAATCCTGACTCACCATCAGGTGAATTTCATTTACAGAAAATCGAAAGAAAAAAGAAAAGTGTAAAACATGGGATGTTAAACAGTGAGTCAGTTAAGTGTTTATAATATGGTGCACACATCTTTACAACTCCTCCATGACCACAAGAGGGAGCGCACTAGGAATAATTGAGGCATTAACTTGAAGTTAGTAAGGAATTGAAACCTTTTTGAGTACACGTCCTTCTCACTGTCAAATGAATCCTCCGAAGTTCCTCCATAACTCTTCTCTGCAGTTAAATTATGAGTCCCTTTAAAGCTTTAGGTAAACACACTCCTGTGTCTGCTGTACGTACCAAACCAGGCCTGCTGATCGCCCTGCACCTCGATGGCCAGGCCAAAGTCGGCCAGCTTCACTGCGGCGTTCTTACATTTGCTTGCCAGCAGCAGGTTCTCTGGCTACAGAGGAGAAGGAGGAGAGAAATAAGGTTACCAAACATTTTGAAATGAAGCATGGGAAAACAAAACATGCACACTGTCCTATTGGGGGAAGAGCTGGAAGTAGATGGCTATGCATGCACGTCTGCATGGGCTGCAACGGGGTTTACAGTTCTCAGTACGTACACACAGACACACAGACACACACTGGTAAACACAGACCCAGATTTAATTCTAAACTGGCATGAACACATAAAAGCTATACAATGAAAGTTAGTCCGCATTTCAGCAGAGTCAGTCTGCAGTGCTTTTTTGTGGTGGCCTCATGTGGCGTGCTGTGGTCTATAGGCTCCATCTCTGTGGCCCAGATAATGCAACCAGCCTCATTATTCTCTGTCAGAGGAGGGCTCTAATAATGGGCTGCTATCCCCACTGGCCCCTGCTCTCTCACTTTCTCCCTCTGCGTCTCTCTCTCTCTCTCTCTCCCTCTCTATCTCACTTTATCGTTGCCTCTGTTAAAAGCAACTGGTGATTCTGAACGACAAGTAAAGTGTCCAAAACAAACATAACAATAAAACCCTGTGACAGCGGTATTGATGATGTTGGAACATCACCCAGCTAGCAAACAAGGTTACCCACACATTACACAACTCTTAAAGTTAGAGTTGAGTGCTTAGGGAGACGGCTAAGCTAACAAGGCAACCCATATATCAATATGTAGAAAGCCAGAAATCGTCTCGGTTTAACAATCCTAGATTTTCCAGTCTTACCTCAACACTGAACTCCAGTGCAACATTATATAGAAACAAATAAATGCATTCTGGTTTTGGGGCATTTGACAGATATTAATCTTTAATAGCCTTGCACTCAGACTGATGTGCATATCACTGAGGCCTTCTATTAATTGCACAGAGGCCCACTGAGTGTTGTCACACGCAAGAACTTTTCTTATGTCTTTCAGGGATTAAAGTAAGTCCCTTTAATGTCACTTACACAAGTCTTCTTTCTCTTCTAATTAGCTAGCGTAGCTGTTTCCTGAAGTGCACCACTGTGCAAACTTACAGCATGTGTAGAGAGAATGAGGACATTAAATTTAGGCTGCATTTCTGTCACTGCCTCCCCTGCATTGCAGCAGCGTGTCTTTGCATCCTCTGCCATCCTCCCCCTGCTCTCTCCCCTCAGCTCATTTGTTGAGAGGCGACAGAATACTGTGTATTTAAAGCGCAGATACTTAAAAGTGAGCGTTTGTAGCTTTTGAGCACATAAGTAAAAGAGACGGAATTGAGCAAGAGAGAGAGACTGTGAGTGAGCGAACCAGTAATCCTGAGGCTCTGTGCCTACCTCGTGTCATCACATCTTCCCAGCTCTACCACTTGGTTAGGCTTTACGCTTTTGTAAACGGGAGAGTTAGAACTTGCCAACACTGCAGCAGTAAGATAATCCGTGAAAACGGATGTGGGTGGAAATTGTGATGAAGCATGCGCTTCCATCAAAAAGGTGCACAAACACAATGCAAAACATCCAGGCCACGAGCTCAGACATAACAGCAGCTATTGCCATCACGTCCTGACATAAGCGCTCCTTCCCTCTCCATCTCCTCAGCACTCGTGTACACTTTAGACACACACAGCTGAGCACACTGAGGGAGGGTGCACGGAGGACAGAGAGAGCTGTATTCTAGAGCAGGTCATGAGTGGGTGTTTCAAGTGGAACGACTCCCAGCTTCCTCTCCTCCTTTCTATTGCTCTGACTTTTGGAGGATCTGGAGCTGCAGCGGCATTCCTGACTAATTCCTTAAGAGAAAGCGGAAGAGATCTGGACCTCCAATTTAAGCAGAACTGCTGAAGTGTGGAGAAATTTTACCCTGACATAAAGGGGCGCTTGAAGGGATATTTTATGATGCCACTCCCAACCGGACACCTGACAGAAAATACCTACAATAACACTCTATTGGAGTTTTTCTACAAAATCTAACATGTTGCCATGTTGGTAGCATAAAATACAGTTTAAATGTGGAAAACTTTAAAAGGAAATTATCTGACCAAAGGTTCAAGTAAATAAGACTAAATGTATATGTAATGTGTAAAGTATTGTGTATCTCTGTTTCATTATAGCCATTACCTGTGTCAGACTAATAAGACTGTCTTTCAGATTGACATTTTGAAAAACAATACATATGCCAAAAAAAAATAGTATCTGCTCTGTACAATGATTTGGTCTTTTTCTCTGGCACATATAAATCTGTTCACCGTGTTGTCATCTCATTTGCCATAACCCAAATTTCTAATTTGAGGGCTCTTGTCACCCAGGCTGTCCTCAGTCATCACACTATGACCTATTGCATGAAATGCTCCACGACGCTTGGGTGTGAAACCAGATCGGCGCGTCGGCTAAATAAAGAAATGGCCACAACAGTTCTGATCAACACAACACGCCTTTGCTGGAATGCTGGGACTGACATTTGCATTGAAGAGGTGCATCATTAGAAGATGCGACATGAACGCATGCACATACAAAAAAAAAACCCCCACCACGTACAAGACAAGATAAGATAAGACGAGACAAGACAAGACAGCTAAGAGAAGGGGAAACAGTTTGATTTCTATCTGTGTAGACGCTGAGTCGCACACTGCTCATATCTGTGGTTTGGAGGAAACGTTTCCAGAAGCACTGCCTTAAGCTAAATTTAAAAAACTTACAGATCAGTTGTTAATTTGCAGCAATCAGATTAAACAAGGCCATGTTTCAAGCTCAGTAAAAATCCTTCTTATGAACGATACGACATACATATAGACATCTACAAAAGATTTTTCTATTAAGCAATCTCACAGTTCGGAGAAACCAGAACAAAATTAGTAACTGGCTCTCAGTTTCCAGGCCTAAAAAAGACTGTGCTGCCGGCCGGTCAAGCCAGTATAAACAAAGTTAATTGATGGTCGTTTGCAGAACGTGAACTGCGACGTTTGGAGCAGCGAGGGTCATTAACTGATCTATAGTGGCGATCAAAAACACACAGGGTGTCTGATAATCAATAGTCTCATTTACTAGTCTCTCTCTGACAAGTGAACGAAGCAGAGGTCAGATTAACTTTCCTCCCGGGGGCCTTCTTACACGGATCCATCGACACAACTGGATCCCGTTCCAAAAAGAGTTCCGAAGCGGAGGTATTGGTCACCCAGCGTGAGCTTGCAATCTCCCCAGACTGGTGGGAGAGTGGTGTTTACACAACAGGAACAGAGCTGGAGGCTGCGTGTGTGTGTGGCAGAGCCAGAGGACGGTCGGAGGTGGTGTTTGACAGTCTCATTGTGATCGCCACAAATCTGTAAGGAGCGTTATAGCTGTGGGCGGGAAGAGGAGCTGTGGCCTGACTCTAAACGGCTTTCTGATCGTACAAACCAGCTATTGTGTGGAAATGACATTACACAACATCACAGACAGTTTCTCATGAACTTATTATACATACACAGACTACACAAATAACACACACACACACACACACACACACACACACATAGATGTATAAGCACACTTTCATGGGACAGCAGGGTGATCACCCGTCACTCACCTTCAGGTCCCGGTGCACCACGCCCATTTGATGGCAGTGAAGCACCGCCTCCAGGATCTGCTGGATGCAATGACTGCATGCAAACACCAAGGGGGGAGGAGGGGGCGCATGTTAGTCTGAGCAGCGCTACAATCCCGTGCACAGGCCAGGGGTGTGGGGAGGAGAGGGGAGGGAGGGAAGGTGTGGTGGTGGTGGTGGGGGGGGGGGGGGGGGGGGGGGTATGAGGGGTAGAACAGAGGGTTCAAAGAGCTCTTCTGTTGCCAAGCGTTCACCTCTTACTGGCGTCAGCTGAGCACACAACTTAGCAACTACTTAGCTACACAGGCTAGGTTAGCTGACCACTGCAGCCCAGATTTAAGGCCCACTGTAATATACTTTTCACAGACTACCAACGTCTTCTATGATGCGCATCACAATGCAACGATGGACTGTGTTTTTCTGTGTTGAGCTTCTCATATAAAAGTTGATCTGAGTGTAAAAACGTGTTCTGTGCGTGCAGCTGAACACCCTGCAGTGCACCGGGTGTCATCAACGACTGTACTGCTGTAGCCGGGGGTGTGGGTGCTCTGCAACAGAAGATTCCTCTGAGTGAATTTATTCTGCAGCTAACCAATGGATATACTCTACATTCTTCATCCTATGAACTCTATTCTTCGTAGATGAGTGAATCCGCAGACACACTCATCTAAGAAACACATTTTACTCTTCAGCTGCAGGTGGATTCTGGATACACCAGCTTTCTCCATGTGTTAGCCAGCAGGCCTCTGGTGATGGGAGAGTGTATGAGAATGTGGCTGGCCATGGGAAGGGGGGCACAGAAGGCGTTGATGAAGGAGGTAAGGGAAGGAGTGAGTCATTGTGCAATTAATAACATTTAAAAGATGTGTCTGGGATCAACGCCATGTCTACTGCCAGCCTAGCTGGCCTCTGCTGACAAGAGCTGTCACTCTGATGTCACTTAGCTTCCCGACACTAAAAATAAAAAACCAAAAGTCAAAAACTGTGTGAAGAACGCCGAGGGGCGACTGAGGTGTGAATCTCTGTAGAGTAAGGTAGGATATATATCTGAGCAGGGAACAAGATATATACAGTACACACACACACACATGTATATATATATATATATGACGAGACAGACAACACATACATGTGTGTGTAGGACCATGTGCATTGTCTTGGTACAGCTATGAGCTTCTCACACACACACACACACACACACACACACACACACACACACACACA